GAAGCCCGCAGACATCCTGCGGGCTGGAGTAGTCATGGGAACAAAGCGTGGTCCAGTGAGGGGAGTCGGTGAGCGAGAAGAGCCTACCCTCCTCGAACGAAAGGGTGATACGAAAGGGTCGGAGAGACAGCAGGAGGCTGGAGGAAGCGAAGCTTCGGGCAAGGCAGGCTAGGACAGGCACTCTGCAAGGACGGTTCCACCGGGGATACAAAATGAATCTGGCATTACAGCTGGTGTAGACTAGGCTCCCTCCCTGTCTTGGGCTCCCGGGGCCCCGCTGGCGCTGAGAGCGAGCGGAGAAGGCCATTTCTGCTAAAAGGAAACAGGAAAGTGAGGCTGGAAGCTCACGCTGTGCAGCGGGGTAGGGGGCCAGGCGCCCGGAGGGGCCTCCGGCAGCGGCGTCTGGATCCCGAGCCCCGGGTTGCTTCTTTAAAGACAAACAAAGGCGAAGATGCGGAGGCTCCCGAAGCCGGAGATGGGGAAATCGGTTGTCATAAAAGAGAGAGAGATTCAGAGAAAGAGACCAGGAGAGTGCGAGGCAGAGAGAAGCCGGGAGAGGAATTCAATGCCGTGTGCGCAGCAATAAAAGAATATGACCGCTATAAAAGTTTATAGCGTATAAATTTCTGAAGGTTAAGAAACTAAACAGCAGCAAAGCAAACAGTGAGGGGAAACTTTCCGGAGCTGAGAGAGCCGCAGCTGGGCCTGAGCTCGGAGCCTGGCGGGGGGAATGGGTGGGCCCGGCTCGCAGCCCCCACCTTCACCCTCCCAGAACGCGGGGCTTGGGGCTTCCGGGGCCCCAGGGGGCAAAGAGGGGAGATGAGGGAAGGCGGGGGAGGGAAGAACACTTTGTTGTCGCCAATGCTTCAGAGATCGCAACTCGCAATTCGGACTCTTTGTTCTTCACACCCTCTCCAGAATCAGGCACCATAAATGAGAAGCCCCCTGCGCGCGCACACACACGCGCGCACACACACACAGACACACACACACACACACACACACACGCACACGCAGGTCCGGAGAGGCCAGACGTCTGGGCGCGGGCAGCCCCTTGATCCTTTTAAAGTCTCATCCGATCCTCTCAGGCCTCCTCTCCCCCCACAAAAAGCCCAATTGTTTCTCCTCAGAGTTTGAAAAGTGCTCGGTTCTCCCTTTTACGGGCCATAAACGGGTGCACAGCTTGGCGGTCTCCGCTAGAAATTAGGGACTGGTGGGGGTGTGTGAGTAGAAAAAAAAAAAGCTTATGACTTCTTTTTTTCCTCCCTCCTCCATGTTTTTTTTTTTTAGCTTATCTACACAATTTCATGAACCGTTTCCTGATTCCGATGCCTTTTCTCTGGTCCGCTCTCGTATCCCTCCCCCTTTTCTGCTAATAATGAAAGTTTCTCTCGCTGGTCGCCGCCGCGGCTGGCTGGCTCTTTGAGAACCTGACCGAGCCGGTGGCGGCGACGCCTTTTGGCTGAGCGGCCGCTAGATGGCACCCTTGCTCCACGTGAAAAATCCCCGGTGCGGCGGCTGCGGACGTCCGCGTCTCCGCGCCGCACCTTGGTCGGCCCTGAATCTATGAACTGAGAGCTACCAAAAGTCATGAATAATTTGCACATAATAAAAAAAAAATAGGGTTCGTTATGGCCTCCCCCCCATTTTATAGATTTCAGATATAGCGGTGTTCCCCCCTCTCCGTAAATGGTCAATTTTCTGAATTTCCCCCACGAGGAGGAATCAGTGCTTCTCACCCAGTTGCTGTACTCGCTGGGGCAACAAATGCGTGAAAACGGGGAATAATCGTAATAATAGGAATAATGGGTCCAAATAAAAAAGGAGAATTGATTCGGAAATATGAGATTTTCCGGGAGGGGGGTGAAAGGAATGTCCTCGGATGCGGGTGAGCAGGTCGGTGAGAGGGGCGAACCGGCAAAATGAGGTCCGGGTGGAGAAGCAGCTGCCTCGAGGGGGCTGCCCACTCCAGCTGGCTAGGGAACCGGGTGAGCCAGCCTGGGGGGCTCCCAATTTGCGGGGAATGGAGCCATGGTTTTCTGGAAATTCGGAGTTGCCCAAAGCCGGAGGGGCGGCTCCGCACGGGCGCAGGCTCCAGAGGCTTTGTACGTGTCCGGGTCGGGGCTGGGCGCGCGCCGGGTGACCCAGGCTAGGGGCTGGGGCTCCCCAGGGCGGCGGGGTGCGGGAAGGCTCGGATATCTCCGCGGGATGCTCTGAGCGCCCCAAGTTGGGCGGCCAAAAGAATGCGCGTTTTCCGGGTGGGTGTGAGGGCAGGCGCGGCGTCGGGGAGCAGGAGCTCGGTTCTCTGGGCGTCCTTCGGCTTCCAGGTGAGAGCTGCGGCTCCCGCGCGCCCGGGCCCTGGCCCCAGGAAAACCTGGGGGCGCAGGTCCTTTCGTAATTTAGAAGCTGGAGACCTGAATGCGGGACACTTTGCTTCCGAGGTCCGCGCTCTGGCTGTCCACAGCCCCTTGGATTCCAAATCTCCTATTTCCTCCAGGCCCCAGCAGAACCCTGCCTCCCATCCAGACAAACCTGCGCCAGCAATAGACACTCCACCCCGCTCAAAATTACCCTGGCCACAGCCTCCCCTCTCTTCCCCCAGGACCCAGAGCAAAGAGGCAAGCGGAGTTTCTCCTCAACTTGAGTTTCTCTAATAAATCTGCGCTCCGCTGGGTGTTTATAAATTATCTCCTCGCTCTTTCTTGTTTTTTTCTTATAATAGAAACATTTTCCTTCCATCAGGAATTTCTGGCACGGTGTAGGGATGATTTAGAACAAGCCATTGAATTTCTACCTCGCTGGTGAGTCCTCAAATCATGACCATAAAATCTCCGGCACTTGATAAAAATGTTTGCTTCGGCAACAATTTAACTGTGCCTTCGTTTGCCTCATGGCCCCCTCAGCCACGCGCTGAAAATTCAAAACCCTGGTTCTTTCTACTTCTTTTTTCCTTTCTCTCTCTCTTTTCTCCCCCCCACCCCTTTTAGCCCCTCTCCCATTCTCTGGATTCACTGTTGTAGACGTGACCCCTCTGGTAACTTTCCCTTGGAAAAGGTGATAATTTCATTTTTATAAAGGTTAGGGTGTGTGGGGTCCCCAAAAGGTGCCCCTCTAAAAGCAAACCACTCTCTCCTGAATAAACAATGGATCGAATATATTTGTAAAGCCTCCACTTTTGTTGCTAGAAATTTTCTTTCTCTCTCTTCTTCCTTTCCTTTCTTTTCCTTTGCCGATAGGCTGCTTCAGGAGGCCATTGATTCTAACCCTAGAATGGGGCCTTCTAAAGCTTGGCCATCACCATCATTGGGCCCAGTAGGCAGGGAAGGTGGTGGGCATGGAATGTGCCCCCATCAGCTTGCTCCAGCATTCTGTGATTCAGGTCTCTGGTCCCCAGGTCTGCAGGGAGAGCCGGGTTTAACTAGAGGCTCTCCAACGGGAGAGGAGAGAAAATGGGGTACTCAGCTCTATCTGAATCCTCTCCTCTTTAGGGGAGAGATTAGGTAATAACAGTGGCTCAAAGGGTGCTGGGGACACTGAGGACAAACAGGTGTCCCCCTCCAAACACATACCTTGCAGCCACTGCCCAGGGCAGCCCAGAGCATAGAACGGCAGGTACCAAGGCCAGGTGCCAGGGCCTGGGTGCCCAGCAGGAGCCTCCATTGCCCTTCCCTCCTTTTGATGTGTGTCTGGGGTTGACGGTGCCCTCTCACCCTCGGGCACTGCAGAAGGTGTGGGGCGGTTGGCCAGGGAAGGTTGGGAGCTAACGGGGCTTGTTTACTGGATCCCAAGACCCGAATGCAGGTGCAGGGCAGCTCCATGGGGTGTCATCCCCTCTCCCCTGATGCAAAGTCTGCCCTGAAAGCACTGACTGGACCGAGGTGCTCTCAGGAGTCCGAGTTTCAGCACTCCTGCCAGCAAGCCTAGATTGTGCAGAACCGCAGAATCTGCAGTTGCAGGCGAACTTTGCTCGGTGCTTCACCACCGCCCATTAACCGGAAAGTTACTTCTTCCCCTGCCCGTCCCTCTGCAAGCTCTCCCAGACCCCTGTTCCACAGAAAATCCTTGCTTATTTGTTTAATGAGGGAAAGTTGTGTGACTGGCCAGGTCAGGGCGGAGGGGGGACCTTTTGGGGGCTTGAGAGAGGGGGTGGGGGCAGGTGCTTGCCAAGGCTGAAGGAGGCAAAAATCTCCGGAAAAGTCACCGTTTGCGCCGAAAAAATAAAAAAAAAACAAAACCACCCATAATCGTTCTCATTTCAGCTTCGTCACCCCCACCGTGCTGCAGTCGGGCGGCGGGGGCGATCGAAGCTGCAGTTTTATAGCTGTAGAGGAAAGAACTCGTAAAATGCTAACAGCTTTTATGCGCTGCGGCATAAACAACAACAGACTCCGGCTTTATTGCGTTTTATAGTTTGTTAAAGAGTTTACAGCCGTTTTTTTGGGGGCCGGTTACCCAGCCAATTCCCTCCACACGATAGTTAAACCTTTATCAATAATAAGGAAATTGATCATTAAAGCTTTAAATATGACTACCTCGTTTGTTTGAAAATATGTTTAGGAGAGGAAGCTGTATGATTTGATAACTTGTATTAAAATACCAATTACATTTATAGGACCTTTTAAAACTCGGCGCAATTAAACCGTGTTCTTTTACATTTTTCCGAAGCGACCCTGACATTTAGAAAGACTCCAATTGCCTCGTTAAAATCGCGAAATTAACAGCGTGCCTACGCCTGGCGCGTTGTGTATGCGTGCGTGCGTGGTTTTTTTCCATGACTCCCCCACATCAGTCTTTGGGGGTGGTCTGCGAAGGTATTTGATTTGTTGTGAGGCGAGAGATATCTCATTAATGTAGGTAGTTAAACAGATTTAATCCGTATTCATTCTCTCTCACCCCCTCTCCCTCTCCCCCTCTGTCTCTCCCCCTCTCCCCCTCTCTCTCCCTGGGTGTTTTTTTTTCTTCCCCTCCTCTTTTTCCTCCTCTTTTTTTTTTCCGCTCTCTCCTCACTCCCTGGCGCTCTCTCGCTCTAGCTCTCTCTCTCGCTCGCTCTCTCTCGCTCGCACCCTCGCTCTGCGTTCTGTCCGGGAGGAGTACGAAGAAGCCAATAGGATGCGGGGTCTCTAATGGATGCAAATGATCATGAAAAGACAGTGCAAAATATGAAACAACTCATTTGCAGGGAAGTAAATCACCGAAAACTGTTTATGAACTGGCATCCCTTCTTCGAAATGTAAAGCGAGGACCTCTTTAAGTGGCGGTATATTTTTGTTTGGGGGGTGGGGGGTGGGGGGAGGGCGAGCGAGCCGCGGCTGCCATGCAGGCTTAGACTTTTGGAGGCTTCTCTGTCCTTTTCTATTCCTGGAAATCACAAAAAGTGTGGCGGCTTCGAGATCTTCTTCGCCTTTTCTTTCTTTCCTTTTTTTTTTTTTTTCTCCTCCTCCCTTTCCCTCTCCTTTCCTGGCGAGGGTGACTAGGAGCCGGCGAATCCGCGTTTTTTTTTCTCTCTCTCCCTCCCTTTCCCCCTCCCCACCCCCTCCCCAACAGCCCCCAACTACAGCCTCCGCCGCCGCCGCCGCCTCAAAATTCAATAAAATGAGCTCTTATTTCGTCAACTCACTGTTCTCCAAATACAAAACCGGGGAGTCCCTGCGCCCCAATTATTATGACTGCGGCTTCGCCCAGGACCTGGGCGGCCGACCCACCGTGGTGTATGGTCCCAGCAGCGGCGGCAGCTTCCAGCACCCTTCGCAAATCCAGGAGTTCTACCACGGGCCATCGTCGCTGTCCACGGCTCCCTACCAGCAGAACCCGTGCGCCGTGGCGTGCCACGGGGACCCGGGCAACTTCTACGGCTACGACCCGCTGCAGCGCCAGAGCCTGTTCGGTGCGCAGGATCCAGACCTGGTGCAGTACGCAGACTGCAAGCTCGCGGCCGCCAGCGGCCTGGGCGAGGAGGCTGAGGGCTCGGAGCAGAGCCCGTCGCCAACACAGCTGTTCCCCTGGATGCGCCCGCAAGGTGAGCTCGCGACGGGGCCGGCGGGGCCGGGCCGACCCGGAGGGCCCAAGGCCGGGCAGGGGGCCGGGCAGGCCCGGGCGCATTCCCTGTAGCTACTGGAAGACTTGCGGGCTCCGTTCCGGTCGCCTCCGGCTTCTTCCTTTTCTTCCTTCCTTCCTTTCTTGCTTTTTTTGGGTTTCTTTCTTTCTTTTTTGTTTCCCTGGAAAGGGGGGTCAGTAAGCGACATTTCCTGAATCCATAAACCCCTCACCCTTCCTTACTTTTCTTCTCCTTCCCCTCCTTTTTTTTCTTTTACTGTTTTATGGGGGGTAGTGGAGAGAGGGTGGTGGGAGTGGGGGCGCTCAACTTTTGCACTTCTCAATTGCTTTATAGTTTAATTACCCTGAAGAAACTTTTCTTCTGGGGCAGAGGCTCTGGGGGCTTTTCAAGGTGGGTCCATTCGTCCCCACCGGCTTTTTTATTCTTATTTTTCCCCCTCCTTCACATCCTTCCTTCTAAAGTTTATGGCACTTTTAGTAGATTTGAACCACCCTCCACCCAACTCTGGTTCTGGTTACCAGGGCAGGGGGCTCCCCTTTCTGGCTCCCTTGGACTCACTGGTGTCTGATCCTTCCCACCCCCGCTGCCGACCACGGCCTCCCCGAGCCCCCCGCCCCCGCGTGAGGTAGAAGGTCCCTTGCCCTTATTATACTGGTCTCCTAGGCTCGTTCACGAATCTTCCAACCTTCTCCGTCTCTGTCCCCTCCCCCCTCCCCCCTCCCCTCTGTCTCGCCCTTTCCCCCATTCCCAGCAGCCGCCGGACGCAGGCGAGGCCGACAGACCTACAGCCGCTACCAGACCCTGGAGCTGGAGAAGGAGTTCCTATTTAATCCCTATCTGACTCGCAAGCGGCGAATCGAGGTATCGCATGCGCTGGGACTGACAGAGAGACAGGTCAAAATCTGGTTCCAGAACCGGAGGATGAAGTGGAAAAAAGAAAACAACAAAGACAAGTTCCCCAGCAGCAAATGCGAGCAGGAGGAGCTGGAGAAACAGAAGCTGGAGCGGGCCCCGGAGGCGGCGGACGAGGGCGACGCGCAGAAGGGTGACAAGAAGTAGGCTCCAGCTGGGACTGCCAGGGCCGCGGCCTCCCGCACGTCCGCCGGTCCCCGACCGCGCCGCCGCCACAGTCCCTCGCCCGAGAGAGCTCTGGCCCCGCGAGCGGAGCCAGGAGCCGAGCCTCCCACCGCAGCGTCCCCACCGCGCCAGTCCCCGCTAGTGGTAGTATCTCGTAATAGCTTCTGTGTGTGAGCTACCGTGGATCTCCTTCCCTTCTCTTGGGGGCCGGGGGAAAAGAAAAGGATTTTAAGCAAGGACTCCCTCGCTCTGCGAGGGTGAGCGGCCGAGGCCCGGCTGAGCCCCCCTCCCCCGCACTCCTGCCCCGTCCCCGTGTAAAAAGCCTCCTTGTGCAATGGTCTTTTTTTCCTTTGAACGTGCTTCTTTGTAATGACCGAGGTACCGATTTCTGCTAAGTTCTCCCAACAACATGAAACTGCCTATTCACGCCGTAATTCTTTCTGTCTCCCTCTCTCTCTTTTCTCTTCTCTTCTCGTCTCTTCTCTCTCGCTCTCTCTCTCTCTCTCTCTCTCTCTCTCTCTCTCTCTCTCTCTCTCTCGCCGCGTCCTCATTTCCCCTCCCAACCCCTCTCTCCCCGCTGCCCTCCCTAGCTGGCTGGCTTTCTCTCTTGCTTCTCTCTTTTCCTCCCCCACCGCCCCTTTGGTTTGACAGTTTCGTCTTAAGTGTTTCTCAAAAGAGGTTGCTTTAGTTAGCATGCGCGCTGTGGGCAATTGTTAAAAGTGTTCTTAGGTTTACTGTGAAGAGAATGTATCCTGTATCCGTGAATTGCTTTATGGGGGGGAGGGAGGGCTAATTATATATTTTGTTGTTCCTCTATACTTTGTTCTGTTGTCTGCGCCTGAAAAGGGCGGAAGAGTTACAATAAAGTTTACAAGCAAGAACCCGAGACTGGCCCGGCCCGCGCTCCTCTTTTGCTCCTGGGCGCCTTGCAGAGCTGGGGGGAGCCTGTCACCGGGCTCCTGCGCCTGCTGAGGCTAGGCCGCGGAGAGGAGGGGGCGGGGGCTGGAGGCAGGTGGTGAGAGTCCCTTGGCCCAGGGGCGCAGCGGGTGAGGGAGGCGGCTGCGCGTGATTGGAGGAGAGAAAAACGAGGGAGGGGAGCCAAGAGAAACCCCCTCCCCTCGCGTTCCGAGGCTGCCCGGCCCCGGAGACCCGGGCGCCCAGGCCACGGGGGAGAGATGCGCATAGGCTGGTGGCTATATCCCCCACCACCTCCCTCTTTGTTTTGATGTGTGTCCTTCTATATGTGTGGGGTAGGGGATAAAGGTGGAGTGCAGGGCTGCTGAGCTCGCTTATATTTTTATTTTTCTCGAATTCTGGTGGGGGGAACAAGAGGAGAAGGGAAATCCTCTTCTCCACCTCTCCCTCTTTGGGACTTGGCCACCTTCGCTCAGCTCCAAGGCCTAGGCTCGCCGCCTTTCTTCCTTCCCTGCCTCTGCTTCGCTGGTAGCCACGCTCTACTGAGGCATCCAGGAACCGGGAGAGCAGCGTGCCTGGGCCGCCCTCCACCCTTCCTTTCTTTGCCCACCCCACCCCACTCCACCCCATCCACTCAAACACCCCCCCGTTTTTTGTTGTTGTTGTGTTTTTTTACTTTCAAACCTTTTTTTTAGCCACCAGAAACTGCAGCACGGGCTGGATCTTGTGCCTTGCACCTATGAAGCCTCGCTCCATCTCTGCTTGTGTATCTGGGGCACCGAGAGAGCCGTGAGCCAGGTTTACCTCGTTCCTCGCCTTGGGAGAACCGGACCAACTTCACCCAAAGCCCTGCTGAATTGGCCCGGCTTAATAAAGACTGACCTGCCCCCACTCACCACCCACCAACCAACCCAGTTGCGTGTATTCAATTCCTGCGTTTGTCTCTCGCTCGGTCGGTAACGGGCTGGAGAGGATGGGTGGAGGGTGACAACGCGGATCTCTGGGAGGTTATTTATTTTCCCTTCCACTCAATCCCTTCCTCCCCAAATCTCGCCTGCAAGCTGCCTCCAGCCCGCGGGGGTCGGCAGCGGCCCTTGAGCCCCCAGCCCCAATCCACAGTGCTCGGCTTTCCCATTCATTATTGATCATATTTTATAAATCCAACGCCACACAATTTTTTCCACATTACCGGGAGCCGCGGGGAGGCTGCCCGGCCATTGGCGGAGGGGACGTCACGTGGGCGAGTGTCACGTGGTCTGGAGAGGAAAAAGGGGGTCCTTTTTGGTGTAAATCTGGACTCTAATTCTGTAATATATCAAGGAATCTCGTAAAACCGACACTAAAACGTCCCTGCCTACAAATCATCCGGCCAAATTATGAGTTCATTGTATTATGCGAATGCTTTATTTTCTAAATATCCAGCCGCAAGTTCGGTTTTCGCTACCGGAGCCTTCCCCGAACAAACTTCTTGTGCGTTTGCTTCCAACCCCCAGCGCCCGGGCTATGGAGCAGGTTCGGGCGCTTCCTTCGCCGCCTCGATGCAGGGCTTGTACCCCGGCGGGGGGGGCATGGCGGGCCAGAGCGCTGCCGGTGTCTACGCGGCCGGCTACGGGCTCGAGCCGAGTTCCTTCAACATGCACTGCGCGCCCTTTGAGCAGAACCTCTCCGGGGTGTGTCCCGGCGACTCCGCCAAGGCGGCAGGCTCCAAGGAGCAGAGGGACTCGGACTTGGCGGCCGAGAGTAACTTCCGGATCTACCCCTGGATGCGAAGCTCAGGTAACGCCGCGCACCAAACTGTCCCGAGCCCCAGCGGGCAGGGCACATTCGCTGGAAGGCGCCCCCTTCCTGGCCGGGCATCCCTTTCCGCGTCCAGAGTCCTTCCGGCCTGGGGTCGGCCTTGGGGACGCGGCACCCCCTTGGCTGCGACCCAGCGAGCTGCCCCCACCCCTATATTTGCTCGGTGCTCTCAGGCTTGCTCTGCTTCCCGGCGGATCTCTCTTCGCCGACGCCGCGACGCTCCGAGCCCCCATCCCGCCCCCCACCCTTCCTCCCGGCCTTTTAGCTTTAAATATTTATCAGCAGCGCCGGCACGGGTTGGAGACGAGGCCGTTTGTCTTGCGGAGGAAGGCTGGGGTTTGCAGAGAATAGCCATTAGGTTCTCCCCCTTCTCTCCCCCCTTCCCCGCCAGGGATCTCAGTTCTGGGTGTGTCTCCCAGCCCCTGCTCCGATAAGGTATGGGGGAGGGGGCCATAGCGTTAAGCAATCTCCCCTCCCCCTTCCTTTCCAGCCAACCCCGCTCCCCCATTATTCCCAATGGGACAATTAGAGGTGGGCTCTAGAGGCCTGGGGGGAGGAGATGAGGACCCAGCAAGGGAGACAGAGCCAGAGAGGCAGGTGCAGGGAGGGAGCTGAGGCCAAGAGAGATGAGGCTCCTGACCCCCCAGTGAACTTGGGGGTGGGGAGGAGAACTAGAGAAAGGGTCAGAGGCCTCCTGGGAGTACAACTGGCTTCCTCAGGTGCCCTTCCCGGGACTCCTATGCACCCCTGGAGAACTGGCCAACAAGTTTGGAGGTGTCTCTCTGGAAAGGTGACTCTCCTCTTGGGGGAGGGGCTATGACTCCATGGAGCCAAATGAAGATTTAAAGAGTGCAGGCCACCCAGCTAGCTGCTGCAGGAACCCCAAGAACCCAGGGATTCCATGGGTCTCCTGCCAAGCTTGGCCCAGACATCCTTTTTAATGTTGCCCCAAGGCAGATGAACTTGGGGGCTAGCCCCAAGGTCCAGAAGGCCCAAGACTTGTGGTCAGAGGCACCAGGAAAGGTGGGGGGCCAGGAGGAACCCACCTCTCACACTGTCAGTATTGGTGATCACAGTCCCCATTACCTGCTCCATAATTCAACTGCCTTTCCAGTTGATTTATCAAAGCCCCAATTTTTCTGCTCGTAAACATTTCAGCTTGGCTTTTATCTGACTTGAAACAAGGGCCCCTGGCCCCTCCTCTGCATCTCCTTCCCAGGAGGGCTGACATCAGCACCTCTCCCAGGTCTCTTCAGGTTCTGGGTCTAACCTGGGAAGTTCCCCTCTGCCCTTCAGCCCCCACCACCCAGATACTCCATGTTCTGCCCTAACTCAGGCTGCTGTCTCTCCTCTCCCTGTGCGCCTTCCTGGAGGCCCTTCCTGGAGGCCCGAAGATCAGATCGCTTTGGGTTGTCTAGGCAAGCAGGAAGGCAAGCACAGCCTGGCCCTGGAAGAACCTCAGCCAATCACTGGAAAAGAATCATCAGAGGGCAGCTGCTCTCAGACCAACTCCAGGCTCGAAGGAAATCTGCAAATCTGCACCTCATTCCACAACGGGATGGGGGGGAGATTGGGCCTGTGAGGCCCCTTTGTCTCCTTTTCTTCTTGGGAAACACTCCTAGGCCAGGCCTGGAGCCCCACTCCAGGGCCACTTGCGTGGTTCCCATTGGCCTCTACCTCCAAGACCATCTGAATCAGCATCCAAAAGGGGAGGCTTAGGGTCCCTGATCTCAGAGAGTGAAAGGAGGATTAACCTTGCCTTTTCCTACCTATACCCGTTAGGAGCAGAACTTTCAAGAACCAGCAGGTTAGATCCTCCTGGGTTCAGAAGCTCCAGGCTGAAAATGACTTCTTGGATGGAAAATAGAAATGTTTTCCTCGGGAGACCTGTAGAATGTTCTACACATTTAGGGGAATGGGCATGGAGCATGGGCTGAGGTGTGGAAAGAGAGAATTTAGTTTAGTGGGAAAATGGACTGCTTCTGTCCGCTGACTTCACACACATGGTCTAAGAGGGAGGTGGGCACTCTCTTGGCGGTTTACCCACTCACTGATTTTTCTCCTCCAAATACGGTACGCAGGAACCGACCGCAAGCGAGGCCGCCAGACCTATACCCGCTACCAGACCCTGGAGCTGGAGAAGGAATTTCACTACAACCGCTACCTGACGCGGCGGCGGCGCATCGAGATCGCGCACGCGCTCTGCCTCACGGAAAGACAGATCAAGATTTGGTTTCAGAACCGGCGCATGAAGTGGAAAAAGGAGAACAAGACCGCGGGCCCGGGGAACACCGGCCAGGACAAAGCCGAAGCAGAGGAGGAAGAGGAAGAGTGAGGAAGGACGGAGAAAGGGAGAGGAAGAGAGAGATGAGAAAGGGAGAGAGGGAGAAGCCCGGCTCTGGGAACTGAACCAGGAAACTCAAATAAGGAAGAAAAACACTGTTTAAATGAAAGCAGTTATAAGTTTTTTTTAAGGAGAGTGAAATTTTGGTTTCTCAACACTGAAAAAAAATACTACCTATAGGAAAGCCTGTCGGGTTTGTTTTTGTACAATATAGGAAGGACATTATCTACCTTGTTCTGTAGCTTTCTGGTATTTGCCTCCCCTTTTCTATGTTGCTATTGTAAGGTCTTTGTAAAATCTTGCTGTTTTGTAAGCCCCTTTTGATGCTGTCTTTGTGGACTGTGGGTCTGGACTAGTGCCTGTGGTTCCCCGCCCTCCTGAGCCTCTGCCTTCCCAGTAGCGGCACCAAAGGGGCCTTAGGGAGCCCCAAGGACCCACCGACTAGGGTGTTCCCCCAGCGATTAGGGTGTCCCCCCAGGACCTGCCCGCTGCTCCGTGCTCCTGCCAGCTCCCCAGCCCCACCCTGTGCCCCTCTTTACAATATATGTGTATGTAAAGGATGGAAAAATAAAACGCAATTAAAAATAAACAGATGCCTTATTTTCTGTGTCTCCCTAAGGCTGGGAGGGGGTCAGGGTTAAGGATGGGGAGGTGTCCCAGAGCCCCTCTGCTCTGGCTTCTGCTGTGGGCCCATTTCTGTGCTGGGTTTGCTCTTTTTCCTGGTGCCCCCAGCTCTGGGGAGCTGCCAACTAGCGAACCCCAATATTAGACACACACATTCCCTTTACACTCTTTACACATAAATATACACGAATGCACACAGTCACACACCTTATTTACAGGCTGACATCATGTATGAATATATACGCTGTCACATACATATTCTCAAATTTATATGTTCATAAATAAACATACAGGCATTCACACAATCTCAGCTCCACACCCACAAAACATGCATTCACATTCACACACACTCACAAGTAAACACACATTCACACTCACTCACAGACACATTGATATATACCAACGTACATTCACACATCGGCTTATAAACACACAGATTCACATATGCTCCCAAGAAAATACATCCATGAGCTCACATGCTCAGTCACACAAACTCACAAAACATAATAAAACAAAATTTAAAAATCTCACAGTTCCACAAACCCTCTTCCTCATTCAGGCCTTGAAACCAGGCTTCAGTATCTGGGCTGCAGCCCAACACAAACACAGAGCTGAAATCCAAAATGGTAGGCTGCATAGGAAGGAAGAGTGGAGGGAAAGGGAAAGTGAACACCCAAATCCACTTTGGCTTCTTGGCTGGCATTGGATAGAGGCCAGGAGGGTGAGTAGAGGCCTCATAGTCGGCCCAGAGAAGCCTCCAATGTCAGGGCGCTCACGGCTTTCCGCTTGCTTGACAAATATTTTTGGCAAGAGCTGTTCCTTTATTTTATTTCAATTTATTTTACTTTCATTTGTTTTAATTTATCTCATTCTAAATTCACACAGGCGACCCAAATAAAACTTAACAATGGGGGTGGAAAATGAGTCCGGGAGAAAGCCTGAGCTTTGGGAGTTTACCCAGCTAGTATGGCCGCATCCCAGCGCTCTGAGCCTGGCCGCGCCGCCGGCCGGCCGGGGGCTTCCTCCTAGCCTTCCTGCCCGCTCTCCGCGCCGCCGGCAACCTGGAACCTACTCCGCAGCACAGGGAGAGGGAGAGAGGAAGAAAAACATATTTTGAGAGGTTATTTCGTTTCCTGCATTTGGGTACTAATTGCTCAACTCGAAATATGGGGCTATTTTGGGGGACCTGGGAAACATGGGCTGAATTTTATTTTATTTTTTGCTCTAAAACACTCCCTGACTGCTGGACAAAAACCTGAAGGGCGGTGTCTACGCAGCTAGACCTGCGGGAATTGATTTTTAGTATAAATTCGATTAAAACGCTGGATTGTTTAAATTTAAAGAACAGACACCGGATAGAAAACGGGAGGACGGTTGGTTTTAGGAGACTTTTTAATTTGAATTTGTAAGTAAAAGCCTCCTAAACCTGCAGTTTCTCCCTTTAGTGATCAGAGAACTCCCTGGAGAGCGCGTGGAGCTGTCATAGAGAACCTGGACTTGCCTGCGTTTGGGCGGGAGAGGCCAGGATTTGGCTTTACCCTCCCCCAGTTTCTGGGGTGCGGAGGGCAAGAGAATCGGTTGTTCGACTATCTGCCTTGGCCCCCATCCAGGCCACCTTTCCTCCTAGGGCAAAACCTAAGCCCTGGGGTGTCAAAGGTCCCCAAACCCTCAATGCTGCAAGCCTCACAGGTGGGGGTCCTGCCATCTCTAGAGCTAGGAATGAGGGAGCCAGTTCAGAGGGAGAGCGGGGGACACTGAGGCTTTCGTTTTGCCCTGATGCAGATGGCAACTCTGGAAACAGGCTGTTGCTCCCGCCTTTCCCCAAAATTGCCTCAGACCAGTCCTATCCGGAGGATTTGGAGTGAATTTTTACTAGAGGAGCTGGTAGAGTTCCTGTGGAAAATAGGGATGTTCGGGAAAGCACCCCCTTCCCAGCTGGATTCTCGTGGCTTCTCCACTCTGATTCCCTGCCCCCCAAACCTCATCCCTTCTCAGATTGGGGTTTCCCCAAAAAGAGAGGAGGAGAAGAAAAGAAGATGGCGACTGAGAAAAGGGTTGCTGGTGGAGCAGCCATGAAGAAATGCAATAAATTCCTTGTTGTTTTATGAAAATTTACAACTTTGTGATAGAAGTTTATGAGTGGTTGAATCCAGCGATTGGCCAGCGCCGGTCATGTGGGCAGGCGATCGTGAACATGAACTTTTTATCATTTCCCTGGTGGTTATAATGCAGCATTCTTTTGGACACCACACCTAGGTCGGAGCACTGTCGTCCTTCAGGGCTCCAGCCTCTTGATATTTTTATACTTCGGTATCAGCTCAATAGAGCAAAAGAGAGAGAGGAAGAGAGAGGGGGGAGAGGAGAGAAAAGAGAGAGAGGGAGAGAGAGAGAGAGAAAGAGAGAGAGAGGAGGAGGGGTGGGAATTACACAAAAGAGAACCAAAAATAATTTTGATTCTAAATTAATTTGCTTGCTGATCTGGGATTTTAGTCATCATGGAAGGTAAATGGACGATCTGCCCAGGACCGCAGCCCGATACCATTTTTCAAAGCCAGAACTTACTCCATTTTCTATGCAAATGTCAGAAAAGCGAAACACCCTCTCTCCCAAGTCAGAGAAGGGGAAGCAACGGCTCTCAGGTTGGGACAATATTATCTGGAAGCTGAAGAAGAAACCGAACGCTCCTTTTTTCCCCTCCCTTCCCATCCCTTTCAATCCAGAGGAAAAAAATTCCAAGGTCTGCAAAGGTAAGGGAGATTCTACAATTCTCTTCTTGTTCGTTAGCATGGCTTTTGTAGGGGGTGGGGCTTGGGTTTTTCTCCCTCCTCCCCCGCTCCAAGACGGGGCTGAACCCCACCTCTGGGCGCTGCAGGGAGAGGCTTCCCAGGAAATTCAGTAGCGGAGAGAGGGGTGGCTGCTTCCTGGAGGGGGAGCCAAGGCAGGGAAGATGGGAAGAGGAACTGAAAGGGGCCACGAGGCCAGCTCTAAGTCGCCTTTTTAAGCTTGGAGGAGAGGCTCACGCAAGGACTGGGAAAGAGAGGACGGGGGTGTCTGGTCTTCTATGGCATCCGAAGAAGCCAGTCGCTATGGCTTCTGTGGGTTTTCTCCCTCCCTCCCATCATCCCTCCCTTGTCCTGGCCTCTCCCAATTGCCCCGCTGAGTTCTCTTGCCTGGTGCGGATATCGGCGATTTCCCGACAGCATTGGCATGCGGGGCGGTGGCGCTAAGGGACGTCCTGGTCTCTGTAGGGCCTGGAATCTCCGCAGAGGCCGGCGAAGGCGAGGAGGCGGCTAGAGAGACACAGAAAGAACAATTCACAGAAAAATGTTCACTGTCTCTCTTTGGTGGCATTTCTGAAATTAAAGGGCTGTGGGTGGAGGCACCCAAAGCGAGGGAGACCCCCCCAGGAAGCCTGCCCGAGAATGCCCAGGTCTCTCGCCACTCCTGCAGGAGGGAGCCTCGCTCTGCAGGGAGACAGTTTTGTGGTTTTAACGCGGTAGGTTACAGCGTGCTGGTTTCTGAGCGATATTGACTGTTACTTGTGTTGTATTGGTATGGGAGGTGTGAATTTCGGTGGAGGAGAAAATTGTCCTGTGTATGTCTGATATGGAAACATTTCAAACTCTCCTGGATCCAAACGTGGTGATTGTGAAGAAGCTGTTTAGCTTGTTGTGTTTTAGGCTTGTTAAAAAAAAAATAGAAAAGAAAAAGAAAACCCAGTTATGGAACCTGATGGTATTTGAACTAGAAAGCCGAGTGGCACTGAGCTCGGACAGCTAGCCCTGTACCTCCGGTGCCCAGATTTCATCCGCCCCCCACCCCGCTGCCTCAGGCCTCCTGGGGAAGGGGGGGTGGAGAAGAACCTTGGGCGGGAGATAGATTCCTGAAGTAGCTGGGGGTGGAAGAAGGCACAAGCATTGAGGCAAGGACTTAAAAGTGGGTTGACAGAGCTTCTGGGGAAGCTGTGAGCCTAGAGATAAGTGACATTGGGCGCGGAGGACAGGAAAGACCGTGATTTAGTTTTGTTTGCATCAATAGGTGATTGCTTTTCTCTTTCTTAAGACCAGATGCAGGGCGTTCATCCTCAGGTCTGTAGTTGCCCAGGAATCGCGGGGTCTGGGGTGTGTGTGTTGGGGGGGAGAGTATATTGGCTTTCTCAGTCCTGAGCTGCGAGAGGGACGATGCAGCCACTTGTGGCGCGGGAGGGGGCCCCTGGGGGCGCAGGTAGATGCCCTAGGCGCAGGCCCGGACTGGGCGCCGGAGGGACTGCTTGGCTTCATAGCAAGAGTCGTTCTCCGCCAACACCCACGGCACTCGGGGCCTGGTCTCAAAGGAAAAATTCCCCAAACCCACCCATACTAAAGGTCTTTTTCTCCTGTAGTCTTGGCGGGTTATAAATCCTCCCTTAAGACAGTTTGTTCTGACCCAAATTATGCGGTTTGCTGCCATCTACCGTCCGTTCGGAGACACGCGGCTTCGGCGCCGCACGCCCCACGACACTGCCGGAGCCGTGCCCGACGCCTGAAGCCCCAGCCGCTCAGGTTCGACAGGATTCGGGGGATTTGGGGCCCACACCGACGCTCCCTGCTGGATCTTGGTTTCCGGGTGTGGATGAGAGAATAGAACAAGTTTCTCCCCAAGTCCACCATCCCCAACCCCATACTCCTCCCTGCCCCCGCCCATCTCAGCTCCAAACCTGCAGGCTGGCAGGAGAAGCGGCTTCTCCTAGGGCATATTTAAAGAGGACTAATGCTACATTCAGCGGGCAGGGGGCCCTGAACCAAAGGGTTGAGGGATCAGAGCCACGACACCACGACCACGCACCCCCCAAAAGCGCGGGAGAGGATCGGGGCCGCTGGAGAGACCCGAGGCCAAGGCTGTTCAAGGTTTATTTGGTTTTCTCCTCAGCCAAGGGGAGGGGCCCGCGGGGAAGGCGCCGGCCCCGGCAGTTCCACTCGGTTGTCAAAAGACAAACCGAGTCTGTGTTCTCCGGGTTGGCTGGTGGGTCTTGCCAGTTCCTTGGCTGGTGGATCCGTGGTGAAGGAATTGAACCGAGTTTTCTGGAAACTGTTGGTGTCTCCAGTGAGAGTCTATCCCCTCCCCCATTCTCGATCGTTTCTAGCGAAATCGACGCAAATGTACTTTGGGGAAAAATTGGGAGTGGGACTGGGGCTAAATCATTAAGGAACCACACCGTTGTAATTTCCGTTCCTGCCGGACCCTTCCACCCGCTTAACGCTACCGCTTTCCCAGAAAGGGGTGGCGAGGGCGGGGGTATGCGCCTGTGCTGCGGCATTTGAATATTGGCCCCTGTCTCACGGGTTACTGATTAGCTCGGGCTTTCAAGCCTCAGGAGGAAGCTCTGGCAGCTCCTTTAAAGGTGCTGTAGCTCCAATTCCTGGGCGGGGGGCGGGGGGTTCCAGGAAATTGCCTGCGGTGCCAGGCTAGCCGACGTGTTGCTAGGGTCTGGCGCGAAGCTAGAGGAGCTGCGGAGGTCCAGGGGCCTGGCAGTGCTGGGGGCAAACGCTGCAGCCGCGGCCCCCGCGCCCTCCTCTTGAGCCTGGGCCTCTGGAGCAGCTCTTTCAGCTTTTCCGCAGCGGAGTGACTTTCTGGCTGCTAGAAGGCTGGGCTTAAGTGAGTCCGCTCTGCGGGAAGCCCCGAGGGAGCCAGCATAGAAGGTCTTGGGCCCCTAGAAGATTTTTTTTTCTTTTGAGCAATCTGAAGGACAGGTAGGGAGGGGAAGTCGTGCTGACGAATCGAAACACTTCAGGGCTCTTAGGGTGCTCGTGGACCTGGCGGGGAGAGGACAAGGAGATCCGGCTCCTAGCCATTGCCCACTCCCCTCTAAGATCAGAGAAGATGCCGCTCATTTGCATAATGGAAATGAGGTCTTTGTACCTCAGGTTGGACCGGCCAATTTTAGGGCAAAGTGTTTCATCTAAAGAGCCTCCCCCAAGCTATGGGAGGAACCACAGGGGTACCTCTGGGAACATTTCTGTTCCCCAAACCCCGGGAATCAGAGCCCAAGGAGAGAATTGGGTTGAAATGTTTTCATCTGCCCCACTCCAGCAAAGTTGGGGGTGGCTGGAGTTGGGGAAGGTGCCCACAACCCAAAGTGCTGGATTGTTTTGGGAGGGCTTGGGGGGACACTTTGTAGCTTAGAGGAAATGGAAAGCCTGGACAATGTCTCAATCCCTACTGCCGCCCTCCCAACACATACAGGCAAATACCCCTCCCTGAGGTTACCCATCAAGAAGAATTTTACTCCTGAACTGAACACAACTTAGGAAACATTTTCCTGGGAGCTGGAATGTGTATGCTTGCCCACAGGACTGCAGATTCACAGCAGAGGAAAATTACAATTATAAATCCTGCCCGTGGCGTATCTGTACAATCCCTCTGTTACGTACTCAGGACTTAGTACACATTTATATCCACTGCTCTGAACACATACTTCCTCCTGGAGGCAGGGAGACACCCCAGACCGGCAGAAGGCTGTGCCCGCTCTGTATTTACGTATTCCCCTGTGGAGACAGACAGACAGAGGTGGACTGAACCACAGACAGATTCGTAGAGATCTGGCTCCAGAAACCAGGCGGTCTCTGGCCCGCCTGTTCTTTTTCCCAAACAAACGGATCAGACGAATAAACGCTCATAAATACCTCTGGGCTTAGATAAGAGCGATGAGGCGCTATTTCCTTTCATGCCTGACTCCAGGCGCCTCGGCCCTGCCGGTAGTGGCTCCATCTCCTGACAGGCAACCTGCAGAGGTGAGGTTAATTTGGGGACTGCGACTCTAAGAATAAGGCAATTATTTTCCTGCTTCTATCACAGGGGAAATCTCCCTCCCTCTCTGCATCTCACTTTGCCCAGACTCCACGGAGAAGACCACACCACCCAGTGCTAGGATGGGGACATTGTGGCCAGGAAGGGGGCAGGAAGGACTGAGGCCCAGAGCTCAGACTTAGTGTCAGGGAGGAGGGAGGTGTATACAAGCACTCTTCCCCACCTTGTTCCCCCTGTTCAAATAGCCCCTACTCCTCTCTTGGAGTGAGCCCAACCATAGCTAGATTTGGAACATTTATATTCATTATTAGGGTTTCTTCTCTTACATCCTCATCAAATCCCCCATAGAGTCAGGCTAGGAAGTGATTGGAGGAACATCGATGATGGCCACTTTGCCATGAAGGTGCAGCCAAGAAGTTGCCCTGAGTTCAGAGAGCCCTGGAAACCACTTTGCAACCAAACAAGTTCCCACCCTTGGTTACCCAACCTCAGTCCTGTACGGCCTTCGCTAGTGTCTTGTGCCATCTTCAGCGGGCAGAGCTGGGTCATAAGAAGGAGCCCTAAGGACTAGGCAGAGGAGGGTCAGCCTGGCCAGACATCAGACTTTGTCCCACATCCTGGCCCCTTCCTGTCCCCAGGTCGGTCGGAAGTTTGTCAACCTTCACTGCCTGGCCTGTGCACACATATTAGAATGTTGGAAATGCACTGTGGTCCTGTCTCCCACCCTGGGCTCAATGCTTATTTTCCTCGGTTGAGAGAGCCAGAGGCATACACTCTTATGCCCAAGCTCGTAAGGCAGCAAAGCTGATGATCCAAACATGGGGTGTGGGAGGGAATTGTAGAGATGCTGAGAGACAGACAGAAGGGAGAGAGTATGCAGCCTGATGGTTGGAAACTGCCTGCTGAGTCCCCGGGAGGACTGGAACACCTTCCTCCTTATAAAACTAAAGCAAAACCAAGTCTTGGGAAAGAATTGATTTTAAAAGGAATTGCCAGCTTCTGGAGAGACCTGGAAAAGGAGCAAGGGGCCCTCTTTTCCAGGTGGTCCTCCGATTGCTTCAAATAATAGGAAGATTTGAAGACCCACAATTGCAAGAGGAACAATTTCTTCCTTGTGCCCAGATTTACTTGGACACCCTTGATTCCTAAAAATCTGAGCCCAGGATATTTCTATGTCTTTTGGAGTATCAAGGGGTACTGGAGGGAGGGTTGCAGGCAGATAGGGATCAGACAGATAAAGCCATGTAGAATGAAGGGTACCCCTCACTCTCTCACTCCATATCCCCAAGTGAGGAGAGGGCCAGTCCTTTTCCCCAGTGCCTCTTCCCCTGCCAAGAGTGCGCAGCTGCATACTAGAACCAAGCGGGATGTCTTGGGCAGCAGCAGCCGCAGCCTTTCAAGAAGCTCCTAGCCTGGCCGCAGAGCCAGAGGGGAAGCTGGGGCTCAGAACGAGCGATCGGAGCCTGCGATCTCCCCCTCTTCTGGGTCTTCCAGGCAGTGGGATCTGACCTGCCCCCCTCAGACCATAAGAGTTGTGGAGAAGCAGGAATAATAAAACCAGGCTTGGAGGAGAGAGAGAGAGTAGATCTGATAAATAGAAAGAAACAATTTTCAAAACCTGGGAAGCAGGGTGTGTTTCTTCTTCGCTTTCCTTACTGAAACGATGCAAATTATCAGAGAACTCTTATCACCTACCAACATAAAATCCTAGGATCAAACCTTCTCCTTTAGCTCTCGCTCAAGGAGATTCAGCAACACTTACCCACCCCTCCCTGAGGGAAAGGGCCCAAGCTACGCAGGGGTTAACTTTTCTGAAAACACAATTAACTTTTTCCTATCTTGCGTGGGACGAGGGGAGGGATATATTTATTTAATCACTGGGGGATGGGGTGGTCTCCATCCAAATGCTCCCTCCTCCTTCAAAGGCACAGCGCCTCTTTCGCAGGTTCTACGTAGGTGGAACAGGACGCGTTGTGTTGTTGGGGAGAGAGAGAGAAAGGAGGAGAAGGAGGGAAAAAAAGGTTGATAGGTTTGTGCGCGGGTCCCTCGTGCGGGCTGCGCTCCTCCAGGGTGCTATTTGACAATTCCTGCCTCTGCCATTGGTCAGTGTTGGATCAGATGGTTGTATTTCCTTCTGGCCCTCACTGGCACCTCGCCATCCCCCCTCAGCTAAAACCCAATCTCGGATATACTACTAATAGGCGCGGCGCTCAGACTATAAAACACAACAAATCATAAACCCGGCGGAGCAGCAGCGGCCGCGCGCGCCTCCCCTCCCAATGAGTTCCTATTTCGTGAACTCCACCTTCCCCGTCACTCTGGCCAGCGGGCAGGAGTCCTTCCTGGGCCAGCTACCGCTCTACTCGTCCGGCTATGCGGACCCGCTGAGGCACTACCCCGCGCCCTATGGGCCGGGGCCCGGCCAGGACAAGGGCTTTGCCACTTCCTCCTATTACCCGCCGGCCGGCGGTGGCTATGGCCGAGCCGCGCCTTGCGACTACGGGCCGGCGCCGGCCTTCTACCGCGAGAAGGAGTCGGCCTGCGCGCTCTCGGGCGCCGACGAGCCTCCCCCGTTCCACCCCGAGCCGCGGAAGTCAGACTGCGCGCAGGACAAGAGCGTGTTCGGCGAGACGGAGGAGCAGAAGTGCTCCACTCCAGTCTACCCGTGGATGCAGCGGATGAATTCGTGCAACAGTGAGTGAGACTCCCTCCGCCGCCCGTCCCTGGGTCCCCCACCCCGGGAGACAACTAGCGAGGCCTCCCCCATTCTCCCACAGGGTGCTGGGTAGTCTTCTCAGTTAGGAGATAGGGGAAGATTGGGCGCCTGCACGGAGTCTCCCGCTCTGTCCTCAGGTCCACAGGAGTAACAAAGTTTGCAAAGTCCCCCTGCACTGGGAGCCAGGGGGAGTGAGTGGGCTCTCCCCGAGCGCCAGGCCAGAGCGAGGATTCCAGGTCAGGGAAGGAAACAGGGGTCGCAGTCGCTTGCTTTGCTTTCCTTTGGGCCCCAGCCCCCCTCCTCCTGCCCTGGTTGGGTCCCCCACCCAAAGAGGGCTCCATTAAAAACCGAGTGCGTCATGCAGGGGCGGACGGTGTGACGCTGGCGAGGGAGAGTTGGTCTGCCTGGGACTGTGCTTCCCTGGGGGTGGAGAGCTGGGGAAAGAAGAAGTACCAGGAAAGGAATGGTAGTCAGAGGAGAGAGGAAGAATAGGGGATAGAAAAAGAGGGAGGGGACGGAGGGGGAGAGAGGGAGAAACAGGCGCCTGGGTCTCAGGTTGGATTATTTGTCGGCCTTAAATCCCAATTGATGTCCATTAGCGGGACACCAAAGTAAGGAGCAGTTAATGTGGACTATGGATCGATTCACGTCATTACGGATTAAGGGCCTGAATCTATCATTGGTTGGGTGGGGGCGGGGGCATAGATGAATGGAAAGGGAGAGAAAGAAAAGATGTAGCTAGGAAGAGACACACCTGGCCAGCCCCTCCCCCTAGGCTCAGGTGGGAGTTCAAACTGCTCCTCCCCTCCCCCACAGAGAGTCTAGGCTGAAGGCACTTGCCTAGGAGACCAGGAGGGAATCTGGAGGGGGCGCTGGAGGAGTGAAGAAGGGGGGACACAGAACAGAGAGTGTGGAGAGTATCCCGGGACAGCCTGAAGTCCATGTTTGAGGGTCGAGTGGGGGAGGGGGGCTCTGGGCACTGTGACCCCAGGCCTCAGCGTCTCCACTCTGCATAACAGGTTCCTCCTTTGGGCCCAGCGGCCGGCGAGGCCGCCAGACCTACACGCGCTACCAGACGCTGGAGCTGGAGAAGGAGTTTCACTACAATCGCTACCTGACGAGGCGTCGGCGCATCGAGATCGCGCACGCCCTGTGCCTGACCGAGCGACAGATCAAGATCTGGTTCCAGAACCGGCGCATGAAGTGGAAAAAGGAGAGCAAACTGCTCAGCACCTCTCAGCTCAGTGCGGAGGAGGAGGAAGAAAAACCAGCCGAGTGAAGGTGCTGGAAAGGGAGAGGCGACGCGAAGGGAGAAGCCTGTGGGGAGCCGAGGGCATCGGAGAGCCCGAGAAGGCTCTGCGGGCGGAGGAGCCCAGGGACCTACTCTTCAGCGCGCGACAGGCGGGGCCCAGCGCTCTCCTGGACGCCTCTGCCCGCAGAGCTCTTGGCGGGTGCTTGGAGGCCGCACCGCCCGAGCCCACCCAGCACCCCGCGGGCCCCCTTCCTCCCCGAGGAACCCGCCTCGGCCCGATCAGGCTCCCTGTGAGAACTGAGGATAGGACTCACTTGATGTTTCCCGGAAGCAGAGCAAAATGCTCTTGTCTGTGTCTCGTCTCATTTCGTCCATGTCCCTGTGCACGGTTCAATGGTAGATTCGCTGTGCCCTCAGCGGGGGCCTCGAAAACTCCCTGACCCCAGACCTGTCGTCTCTCCCACCCCCTCCCCAAAGCCACTGGAAGGAGCACATACTACCTAGAAGAAGAGGAGCCTCAGAAGAAAACAAAGTTCTATTTTATTAATTTTCTATGTGTTGTGTTTGTAGTCTTGTCTTAGCTCTGGACGTGAAATACTTCGGTAATAATATTAATATTATTAATAATGATGATAATAATAATAATAAAGACATGAAAACTCGCCGCTCAGTCACCTCCAATCTTCCTCTGCCATTTTTTTTTTCTCTCCCCACTCCCCAACCACTCCATCCTCCCAGAGCCTAAACTCCCCAGCAAAGGCGGGAGCCTTGGTCCGCCTGGGGCCTCCCCAGCGGGCTCAACTCGATTCGGAAGTTACAGTTGGGATAAAGGCTGGAGCGATCAGTCGCTCCCAGGCGCCAGCGCTGCGCCTGGACAGTGCCGAGGCTCACAACCGCCTCTTCCTGCACAGACTTGGGGGACGGAGAGGGGCCGTTTTTCTCTTATTCTCTAGCCTTTCCTCGTTTGTCCACAGCACTAGGGACGCACCACTGATGTCCCCTATCCCCAAGCCCCTGCAGAGACTGAGCCTGGCGAGCCTTGGCGCCTCTGCAGCGCTTTCCTATCCTCATGGTTGCTGAGGCGCCTGGCCTCTGGCCCGCCCACACGGTCAGGTCTCCTTCAGCCCTGGCCCTCTGCTTCTGGCCTGTGGCTCCGGGGACTGAAAAATGGGACCACTGGGTATCTCTCCACCATGCAGCTGAAGGGGCTAGGTGCCCTTTCCTACCTCAAGGAGAAGCTCAGTGACAAGTAGGGGAATGTAAAGCCGCCAGCAGGCACTGGCAGAAGGACATGACTTTCCCTTGCTCCTTGGAGATCCGAGGGCGGGAGGCCAGGTGATGGGGCATTTGGGTCTCATCCTCTCAACCCGAAATGGCCCAATCTCTCTCTACCCCCACCCGCACCCAGGCGGCAAGCTGCTGACACTGTTTTCCTTTCTTTCTCCTCCCTCTCTCTCCCTTTTTTATTTTTAAAGAAAATAGCTGCCTGGCAGAAGGGGCCCAGCTGCAGCGGTCTCTGGCCGCCCAGCCCGCGCAGCAAGCCTCCGCTGTCTTCGAAACCCCTTCCCGGGGAAGGCGGTGGGTCGCCGGGCAAATTCTCAAACTGCCCAGCCACCAGCGAGGGGCCTCAAGTGGGGCCTCCGAATGCTATAGGCGGCATCTGACAAGGAGGCCACGGGGTCCCGCTTTAACCTCAAACTCTCAGCCGTTAGTGTCCAAACCCAAGCCGCCGACGCGGTGACCGCTGCAGTGTTTCCGGCAAAGTAGGCCGCTTAGTTATTGCGGTGCTCGTCCTGTGGGGTTCCTGTACTGTTTTGCCATTCCCCAGGCTTGGGCTAAGGACAAGAAAGAGGTCAGGAAGAGCATTCCAAACTTCCAAGGGGCCCAGGAGAAGTGAAAGCTTCTCCTGCTTCCTGAAGCCTCGGGCTCAGCCCTGCTCGCTCGGCCTGGGCGCTGTGTATCGGCCTCTGCAGTTTCGCCAGGAAGCAGGCCGGGCTGAGCTCGCGGGGAAGACCCATAGCAATAATTGTTTTTCACACACAACTTCCTACCCTTCCCCCCATTTCCGTCCCAACCGGGAGACTTGGCAAAGCCCGAGTAAGGGAAAAGCAACTCAATCTTTAATCAGCTCATCCAGAGCTAAAATAATAATGATAATGATAGGGACAAGGACACAAATAGAGAGACTAAGCCCACCCCAAGAAAGTGGGTAAAGAGCTCAATCCCCTCTCTAAAGGGCTCAACCCTAGGAGTGAGCCACAGCCAGGATTTCTTTCTCTCCCGGCGGTTGCGGCGAGTCAGCGGGGAGACTGCCGCCGCCGCCATGGCGGTCTTCGGACCGCGCTCCCGCCGATCGCCGGGAGGTGGCGCGCTCTGCTCAGAGGCCAACGCCAACCTTCTCCCTGTTTCTCCCCCTTCTCCCTTTTCCCCCTCTCTCGGAGGCTCGCATTGAATCGGCCCTAACGATTCTCGGATCGTCATTATTTGTAACCATAGAGCATGAATTACCTCTTGAGGTCATCAGCGAGAATTTACGACTGGTCAACAAAAGCACGTGATTCCCTAACGCCCCCCCATCCCCCTTCCAACCCCCCCCATATTTGGCCGCATACATAGCAAAACGAAGTACAGTGCATCGCTATAATTCATTAATACATCATAAATCGTGAAGCACAGGGTTATAACGACCACGATCCACAAATCAAGCCCTCCAAAATCACCCAAATGAGCTCGTACTTTGTAAACTCCTTCTCGGGGCGTTATCCAAATGGCCCGGACTATCAGTTGCTAAATTATGGCAGTGGCAGCTCTCTGAGCGGCTCTTACAGGGATCCCGCTGCCATGCACACCGGCTCTTACGGCTACAATTACAATGGGATGGACCTCAGCGTCAACCGCTCCTCGGCCTCCTCCAGCCACTTTGGGGCGGTGGGCGAGAGCTCGCGCGCCTTCCCCACGCCCGCCCAGGAGCCCCGCTTCAGGCAAGCGGCGTCGAGCTGCTCCCTGTCTTCGCCCGAGTCCCTGCCTTGCACCAACGGCGACAGCCACGGCGCCAAGCCCTCTGCTTCGTCCCCCTCCGACCAGGCGACCCCAGCCAGCTCCAGCGCCAATTTCACCGAAATAGACGAGGCCAGCGCGTCCTCGGAGCCTGAGGAAGCGGGGAGCCAGCTAAGCAGCCCGAGCCTAGCTCGGGCGCAGCCAGAGCCCATGGCCACCTCCACAGCCGCGCCCGAGGGGCAGACTCCGCAGATATTCCCCTGGATGAGGAAGCTTCACATCAGCCATGGTAATTCTTTCTGTCTCTCTTTTTTGTCTTCCCAGCTTTCCTTCTCTGCATTTGGGGGTGGAGGGGCGCGAGGAGAGCTTTGCTTTTCCTTAAATATAGATTTATTTTTCCAAGGGGGAGAAGTCTCTAAGAGGGTCCTCAGGGCTTTGTGGACAGAGCCAAACAGGGTCTCTAACTGGGAGGGGGTATTTTTAATAATTTGTTTCCAGCTTCTCTTAGGTTTTATTCGCTTAGCTGCACCAGCTTTAGAATGAAGGATGGGTTTTATGTAATGTGAGAAAAAGGTCCTTCTTACCCCTGAAATTTTGAGATCCCCTCTAGCAAAGAAGGGGAGAGCAGTAAAATGAGCTTTCCAGGGCAAAAGTGCAAGCTCTCTCCTCCCTCCCGGGGAGAGCGACCGCCTGAGTCCAGCCAAGGGTGAGGCTCTGGCAGGGAGCAAGAGACAAAGCCGGGCTCATTCGCTGCTGGCAGAAGTGGGGGTTGCAGGAGAAGGGGGTGCAGAAATCCAGCCTGGATGTAGGCATCTGGTGTAGGGAGGATTGGAGCTGCGGTGAGCTGGGTGCTGGGGATGCCTGGGTCCTGCTCCCCCGCCCCCTCCTACCCAGTGCCCCCTCCCTTAACCGGAATAACGTTGCCTTGTGGCTCTACTCTATCTGCTCCAGATATGACCGGGCCAGACGGGAAAAGGGCTCGGACCGCGTATACCCGCTACCAGACCCTGGAGCTGGAGAAAGAGTTTCACTTCAACCGCTACCTGACTCGGCGGCGGCGCATCGAAATCGCCCACGCACTCTGCCTGTCCGAGCGCCAGATCAAGATCTGGTTCCAGAACCGGCGCATGAAGTGGAAGAAGGACAACAAACTGAAAAGTATGAGCCTGGCTACAGCCGGCAGCGCCTTCCAGCCCTGAGCCTGCCCAGAGGAGCCCCGGGCGGCCCAAGAGCCCACGCCACCCCAGCCCCAGCCCCTCTAATCCTCCCCACCCTGCGGTCGCCCGCTGGGGACTGGTTCCCACAGCCTGCCTCGCCCCGGCCTTGTGTTACGATTTTTCGTTTGGTCTTAGGTCTTCCTGTGGCTCCCTCTCTCCTGGACTGGTTATCTTGTTATTATTGTTAATAATAATAATAATTATTATTTTCCCTCCATGCTCCCCACTCCTTTCCCATGGCCCCAAATCCGCCAGTGTTTCTGAATGTTCGTGTCTGTGGTTGCAGTCCTTCCCCCAGGGGGAAAAAAAAAGAAATTCGCATGTGTAATGTGAACTTTCCCCTTCCCATCTGTGTTCTAACTTATTTATAAAAGGATGATCACTGTATTTTGAGTTTCAGCTGGAAACTTCTCTAAGGGGCGGCAGTTGAGGTGGGGTAGCGCCGCAGCACGGGGCCCAGCTGAGCTGGCCTGGGAGATGGAATCCATGACTGTGTCTCTATTCACCCCCCTCCTCCTCCTCTTTCCCCACTTCCCAGGCCCAGGTCTCCCAGGGACTTGGTCCTGGGGTGGGAAGGGGCTAGAAAGGACCAAAGGAGTGATGCTGAGAAAAGGGAAGGAAAGCAGTGAGATTTAAGTTCCTGCTGCCTGGGTAGGCCCCACAAGGCCTGGTCTGGGAGTATAAGGAAACAAAAATAATCTTCAGTGTAAAACGTCTTGTGTATTTCTCTGTGAATCCATGGGTCTGGCTAGAGGGCCCAAAGCTTGTAAATATGGGAATAGTCTGGGTCAGACCCATCTTTTCCTCCCTACCCATTTCGCTTCCAAGACCATTTGTAGTGAGCGAGTGGATGCCGTGCTACGTGTGAAATCTGTCTTTGCCGGGCCTGTCTCAGTGATTCGCTTTTGGTATTTGTTTGTAGCTTTCCTTGAAGTCAAATAAATGTTTCCCCCACTCCACCGCCCTTCCACTTGTCTTTTCTGGATGTGGGGGGTCTCCTCTCTAATCACCAGGCACACCCTAGACCATTCTAGACCATTCTCTATAGATCTGCGGTATAGGGAAAGGAATGTAGGATGCTTCCCAGCAGCCACTCTCAGCTACTTAAGTCCCTGGCTTGGTCAATGGTGCTTGGGCCAGGGAACAGGCCTTCATGCCTGGGCGACTGAGAGGCCCAGAAACCCCATGTGGGGCTGGGGCATGGGAAAGGCTGGGCCGGACTCCATTCTGGCCTTCCATCAGCTGGCCAGTAAAGCCTCTGGAAAACTCTTTAGGGAAAGTAATTTGGGCCTAAGTCCTGAGCAGGAGGCTCCTGGCCTTTTGGCAATGGTAGTGCCCTTCCCAGCTCCCTTTTCCCTGCTACAAATCCCAATTCAGTTCTGCCACTAAGGCAAAAAGAAAAAAAAAAATCAGCTCAATTTCAAAGGTTTTCTCTCACCTTCAGCTTTCTCTACACTTCTCTAGGGCTCCTTCTCTCTAGGGGCCCAACTGACCTTCCTTCTTGATTAGGAGTTGGAGCCCCTCCTGAAAGACCCCTGGTTCCCCCTCCAGCCAGACTGGCCCAGGGCCAGGGCCCAGTCCACCTCCATCCAAGCTAGCCTCCACCCTGAGCACAAGAGTCAAGTCTGGACACTTACCCGGTCAATCCCTTCCAGCTTGGCCCAACTTCTTACTGGATATGGGGGGAGGGGGAGCTGGTGAGGAGGCAGCCGAGGGTCGTGGAGGCTCTACTGGGCCCTCCTTCCCCTTCACCCCTTGACTTTGTGCCCCTTTGTCGATAGCAAACTATCCCAAAAGTCGCTATGACATTTAGATGTCAAATGGATAGGGGTTTTATCTCGAAGTTAGATCGTAAAAATCGCCGAGAAGTCAGACAGATACCCCTCACTGGCTCGAGAAAGTCACGTGAGGTCCATAAAGTTAGTTTTATGGTTTTGGGGAGTTGACACCGCGCGGTATATTTCACATTCTCCAGAATGTTAAGTGACACTTTAACTGCTCGCCGTGGTGGGGAAGGGGGCAGAGGTAGGTGAGCGCTCTCGCAGCCTAGAGCAGCCCGACCGGCCCAGAAGGCGGCGGCCAGGCCAGCACTCCCGCAGTAAGTCGCTTCCAGCTTTCGCTTTCTCCCCTTGCAATTCCGGGGCTTGGGACTGGAGGAAGGAAATTTTGCTTCCAGCAAGGCTGTGAGGTGCTGTAGGGGAAATTTAGCCTATTTTTGGCATCCAGTTCTGAAAAACTGGGTGCCCGAAGTGGGGGCATTTATTTCGATAAGGCCTCAGCGGTCGGGTGCCTGGTTTTTATTTGCAGGAGTGTCTGACTCTGTGGGGAAAAGGGGTTGTGTGAGCTCCGTGTTCCTTTAGTGCCCTTGAAAATTTAGGGGGCAAGAATGAGGGGTGTGTATTGCTGAAAGAAGGGATCACCGTGGGGGGGCTACTTCACTGCTGAATATCTTCAGACAGATATCCTTCCACCCTGGGGAGAGGGTGGGATGAAACTCTATGACATTCATTTGTCAGGGGTGTGTGGGGGTGCGCCGCTGGGCACTTTTATACATCTGAGCTGAGAAAAAGCACCAGGGGAAGTGGCTGATGTGAGCTGCCTTGCCCTGGGGTACTCACTGGCTTTCAGATCTTTGAACCTTATAAAAAAGGGTCCTTCCAGTTCTCCATGGCTTCATCAGGGCTGTCCAGGATGGGGGGCATCGGGCTTTTGCACCCACCTTCAGCCTTTTGGTCCCAAGCTAACCCATCTGCTTGGCTCTAAGTAGGCTCTCTAAGGAGATCAGAGTAGGGAATACACAGAGGGGGCAATCCCCTCTGTTCTAAAATCTAATTCCTGGCTAGGGGTAGGGGAAGGGGAGTGCTTCTTCCCTTGCCTAGAGGAGTTAGGTGTTTGAATAGATCTCTGGCAAGCCCTTCATAAATCAAACCTGCTCAAGAACACAGACCCCAACTGTCGGGAGGGAAAAAAGAGACTCAGGAGCTAGGAGAGAAAATTGCACAGGTGCTCTTTATTCTCTCCTCTTCTTTCCTCTTCTCTCCTGGGCACACCTTCAAAGGCCCCTTTGTTTTGTGCCACCACAAACCAGAGGGACTTCAGGATTTGACCCTAGAGGGTCTGTTATTTTCTAAGGAAAATTCACCCTTCTTCTAAAAGCCAGAGACCTCTTCCCCGCCAAATTAAACATCCCCTCCCTATTTTAAGACCCATGGGGCCAACCACCCTGTCACTACTGCCTTCCCCAGCCCACCATCTCTAGAGTCAGCTTACCAACTCCCTATGGATAGTCCCTGGGATTGGATATATGGCACCTTGAGGGGCTTCTGATCTTTGGGACAAGGAGGGGGTCATAAGGTTCCCCGGTTCCCATTAAGGGACATTGGAACTCTCCCCCTCTTCTCCTTCTCCTGAAGCCACTTTATTCCCTGAGCTCTTCTGTCTCTGCCCAAGCCTAACTTACAGGAGACCCTTAACAGGCTTTGAGAGCAGAGTCACCCTAGTTTGAAGACACATCATCCCAAGAATGATGGGGCATTTGTGTCCCTTGGAAAGGAGACTCTGGTCAGCTCCAAAAGGATCCCCAGCACCATTTAAAATACTAATAAATTTTGGAGGCATAGCTTGCACAAGCTTCCACTATCTACAAGGCAAAGGGGTTGAGAGAGGTATGGAGGAAGAGCGAAGCAGGAGGAGATCTGACCTGGGGCCTCCTGGGAAACCCCATTCCTACTGTGGCCCTGGCCTCACTCTAATGTGCTTCCCTCTCTGGAAGTCTTCCCAGGATCCCAAAACGATCAGGCCTGCCCCTGAAGATCTTTTTTTTTTTTTTTTTTTTTTGCTCCCCTCTCATGTCAGTTCTGCCCACTGATAGAGAGTACAGGGGGCCAATGGCCAGGGAACATCTGTTGGGCATAACTGGACAGATTTTCCGGAATGGGAAAGAGCAGCCCTGGGCAGGGATGCCCACTTCCACCTCAGGGACCAAACCCTTGGAGGGTTTCCTCTCTCACTCTAAGCAGATCTTAGAGAAGGCACCCTGGCTGGACTTTCCTCTTCCCCGCTTCGCTTTGGCTCTCTTAGCAACTTTCCTCCTGGAACCCAACCAGGACAAGCTGGGGGAAGGGATGAGAGGTGTGAAGGGATTTCTGTTGTAAAGAACTCTGTCCTCTGCCCCAGACCTGTGCCCTCCCCTCCCGCCACCTTCACCTTCCCCAAGTCATCTCTCTCCTGGAAAGCTTCCCTACTCTCCCACCCGCTTTCTGCTTTCTCTCGCTGCTGGTCCAGGCCTCAACCTTCTGAACTCTAAGCCAACACCCTCTGGCCAAATCCTCAACTTGGGACAGGCCCCAGGAGGTGGCAGCTGAGGATTAAGGCTGCAGTTTCCCTTTTTCCTCTGAGGGCAGCCTGGCCACCACTCAGTGGACAATTTGATTTTGATTTTTTTTCTTTTAATTGATTATTTGTTTTGTTTTGTTTCTCTGAGGCCAAGGGGTGGGAGGAAGTATAAAGAAGTGTAAACAGGAAAGCCAGCCGGCCTAGAGTTCCAAGTGCCCATATTTCATCGGCTTCCTCTCCATAACTGTGGCGGGGACATTTAACCCTTCCCTGACTGTGAGAAGCTATTCACTGACAGTTGGTGGGGCAGAATGTGGAGATCCATGAGGAAGCGCCTTTCCCTCCTAGTTCCTTTATCACTGGGATCTGGATACTGGGGAGGATGCCAAAGATTCAGAGCAAAGAAGACGACAGACTGCTCAACACAATCCCCAAACTCAGTCCTTTCCCAGGACTGCTCTCCCCTGCATGGGTTCCCAGCTTGGGGACCAACCTGGCCAACCTTGGTGGATAAGGCTAGCAAGAACCCAATCCCCTCTTTTAGGGGAGGGGCTACTGGTAATCCTCCCCATTTCTTGGAGTTTCTCAGAGTAATCAGATTTTGAGGCTGGGTTCTGCCCACAGCAGGATTTATCGATTGCTGCAGCACTGTTACACATCGATATTAATTAACCCAGACAGGCCTGGAAACCAAGCTATTTGAGAAGGGGGAGGAGAGGGTAGAAATTGGGGCCCCTTAAGGAGAATGGACTTTTCTCCCTAAGTGCCCCTGAGGCACAGATAGGAGAGCGGTTTCCCCACCAGAATCCTGTCGCCCTCCCCAAGCTTGAAGTTTCTGGAGTTCACAGCAAGGGTAAGAGTGACTTAGCCTCCACATTTGGACTCCACATACGTCTCCTAGGGGGTGGAATTAAACACCTTCCAGGCTGGTTCCTGCAAGCCCGCCCCCCCACTCCTCCTTGCCTCTAGTTGGTTTCTCAGCCCTCCAATGCTGTGTTTCTGGTGGCTGTTATCATTTCGACCTTTCTAGAGGGGTTAACGCCCCCTCCTCACCGTCCTTTCAACTTTCCAAAGGTAGAAACTTTTGATGGTTTTCGGGTTTCTTTTGTTTTGTTTTAGTGTCCCGTTTGTTGCTGGTGGTAGTGATGATGTTATGGTCTTCCCCTTTCTCCTACCCCTCCCTCCAAAAAGTGATTAAAATCTGTTAAAGGATTTAATTAAGAGAGTTAAATGAAAAGGAAGGAGGCGCAAATGAGTTGGGGGAAAAAACCCACCAAAGCTATTCTCAACGATTAAATCGCCATTTTAACAATATAATGGAGTTTGCATCCTGAAAGGGGAAATCAACGCTTATATCTCATCAATAATTCATAGAGTCTGGGATCACACAGAGGTCAGCAGACGGGGGCCGCAGTGCGGGCCTACGTGGGACTCCGAGCCGTGGCTGCATACATTACAGGCCGCTGCTGGCCACACTGCCCCGGCCACCTCCGCCGCTCCAAGCCGGGGGCGGGGGCGTGCCGACAGGTTTAGCGGATCTTTCCTTCTTTCTTGGCGAATTCACTGAGACCGGGATTGTAGGCTCTAAGAGGAAGAGGGAAGTTTGGGGGCCTGGAGAGGATTGAACTTCAGGCAATTCGGCAACCTGTCGGATGCTGAAAATCACCTCCTGCCCAAGTTTTAATTTCTCTCTTTCTCCCTTCTTCCATTCTTTTTCCCTTTCTCTACGGTTTAGGAATCTCTTGTCCTGTCTCTTCTCTCCCTAAATTTCCCCTTGGAGAGAAAAATGCACTTTCCGCAGCATCCTCTAGCTTCTCCTGCCTGGACACAGCTCCCAGGCTGCCGGGCCACACTGTGGCGTTGCTCTGGGGGCCGGCAGCCTGGGAGTGGATTCAGGCTAAGCCCACGCAGCTGCTGCCTGGGGTGCTGCCTCTCAGGACCGCAGCTGGCTTTGGTTGCAGCGATCCCTGACCTTGCAGACCGGTGGGGTAGGAATGAATCAGTCTAGGGAGGAAAGGTACCTCGCCAGCCCCAGATCGGCTTGCCTAACCAAGAGATGACCCAGGCCAGATGGAAAGGTGGGGAGTCAGCATTTAGGGGAGAAGTAGAAGGAAAGTGTCAGCTTGGGGGGCGTCTTCTCTTCGGAGATTTGAAGGCACGATGAAGGATAATCCCTATATCGGGGCTTCTGCTGGCTTGTTCTATTCTCTCTCTGTGCATCTCTCTAACTCGCTCTCTTTTCTGCTTTCCAACTCCCAAGGGCCCCTAGGGAAGAAAAAATGAAACCCTTCCGAATGGTGAGAGGTGGGGTCCTAGGAGGCGATATTTGGGCGGAAGGGAAACCGAAAGCGCGCGCGCGGGTCATCCTCACCGCCGCTGCGCTGATCGAGCGGCAGAGCCTGTAACATCCCCAAACTGCCAGTAGAGTCCGCCTTAGACCAAGTTCACAGCCAGGCTAGGGCCTCCGAGGCTCCAGCGATCGGCCGCGCAAGGTGGCCCGGGGCCCTGCATTGTTGGGACACTGAGCTCTCCCTCCAGCCCTATGGGCACAGTGGCTCCCTCTGCTCCCTAGGAGCCCCTGCTCCAAGCTCTTCCCACTCTTCACCCCGGAAATACCCTTCTTTAGGTCATCCCACAGATCCCCCCTCCCAGCAACTTTGGCCTCACTCTGGGGAACAAGCATGAGGAAGAGTGGGTGGTCAAAAGCGCTTCCAAGTATTCCAACGGAAAAGATTGGTGAAAATGCGGAAAGCGGGGTCGGCA